ATAAAGACTAAAATACTAATGATTTCATAATAACTTATTCTGAATCAAGGAAACAGATCTAACACAGAATAATGCATCCAAAATATACTTCATGAACTAAATTATTCTCAGTCTGAAATCAATATGAAAGGCAAAAATAAAAGCATGGACATATGAAATCTAAACTGCTTAAAGCAGCAAAGAAACCCCATATCACACTATTAGTTGCTTTCCTTTTTTCCTTTATTTACATTATTTCCTTCCAGACCATACAAGTTAAGCCCAGATTTTGCTTCTCTCTTTTCTTTGGCAAGCAATTGCCCTTTGCCCTGCGTTTCTATTTCCAGACTACTAGAATGTTCCTTGGTTCATAACAGGTTGTTTATTCAAAGTAAAAGCAGAAAAAATAAAAAGCAAGAATGAAAACAAGTTAAAATTACTCATGAAAGCTACAGGTTGTCCGGGTAGTATGTGACAGGAATAGCAACAGCATGTCCTAGCATATTTCTTATCCTAAAGCCAGGAAGAGTAGTCTTCAGATCAATCCTAATGTCACTGACTTTCTATTTCTTTAATAGGGAGATTTTCAAAAAACTGCCTGGATCCAAGTTTGGAATGGTCAGGGTAGACTCTTCTTAAACAGTTAACATTGAGAAAAATAATTACCAAAGTAATTTACCTTTTACTTTACAAAATATATTGGAGAAAGTACTATGAATGATCAAAGCTTTAACTCTAGTGTCCATTTCTCTGTGCTGGTGAGGCTGTATAACATTCCCAAGGTGAAAATCTCAGACGTTTCTCTATATTGCCTCATTGTGCTCAAAGAGAAAGTGTTGTGGCTGTCAGTGATAGAGAGGCAGGTACTGGTCTTGATTCCAAGAGAGGCGATCCCAGAGAAGCTAAACATCTATGAGATGAGCCATAAATCCACTAAACAAAGACTGTCCTGTCCAACTAAATAACAGTATTAGTGATTTGAAACGCTACTGTTCCGTCGAGTGTGGAATATTGAAGAAAACAACACTGCAAAATCAAAATACTACTACAAATTAATAGATATATAACTCACCAAAACTATTCTTTGTGGGGTTTTTTTTATGAGATTATTTTTTCTCACTTGTCACAAATACGCGAACACTACCAAAATTAATACACTTGACCAGGGAGTTCTTGATTCTTAAAATCCCAATGGTATGAGATTCTGTAAATCAAAGGGGAAAAAACCACTGGAGTCCCTCCAGCTGGGGTTCGGACGTCCCTAAGCCTCTCTTACCATGGATTCTGTGGACCGAGGCGATGTGCGGCATGCTGTTCTCATAGGCCTCTCTGCTCTCCGGGGAGGCCTTGGTCAGAGGCAGGGCTGTGCGAGAGCCCCACCAAGGCTCCCTCCCAGACTGTGGCGCTCCCAGGAAGTACCTGCCTGCTTCGCACCGGCCTCCCTCACAAGCCTGGGTGTGGAAGTGCCTGTCTTCCACCAGCCTGGAGTGGTCCAGGGCAAAGCCATAGCAGAGCGAGCTGCGGTCTGGAAACTGCCTGTAGGCGCAGGACACATCGTGCTGGGAACCCGGCCGCTCTGGATCCAGGAGCTGCTGCGGGGAGGCAGTGTCAGTCAGGGGACTTCCGCCCCATTGGCTGTCGTGATCGGATTCCGACCTTTCTGTGTGGAATCCGGAATACTGAAAAAAAGGGAAAAAAAAAAAAAAGAAAGAAAAGAAAGGGAAAGGGAAAGATGGTGGAGGGAGGGAGGAGAAAGAAAACACCACATCAACACTAAATAACTGATATAAACAAATCAAAACAGCTTTTCTCTGCAATCACCATAAGGCCATGCTGGCTTGAAGCAACCAAAGTAAGGTATAATGTTATCACCAACACACCCATTGATTTGGAAGTTTCTAGTTAGATGATGCCCATACAGAAAAATCCTTTCGGCTACCGGAAGAAATAAAACTAATAACACACTGTAGTCTTAAAAACTGAATGAAGTAAATTACTCCAGAAGGTTCTGATAACCCTTCATTCACAAAGTCAGGGCTCCATGAAGTGATAAGGACACAGAGGCTCAGAGTGAAAGAATTTGCCAACACTTCAAAGGTAGCAGAAAACAGAACCAAGATTCAAATCCAAGTTCTTCACCACCACCGAAATGAGACCCTAAACAAGAGGCTCAGAAAGTTCCCTGTTTTATACCAATTTGTTTTTCATGTTTCTCATAATTAAATAAAATAGATAAAATCACCCTCAGCACAGTAGGCAGTGTGTCAGTCTCATAAACAAACTAGATAAAAACTAAAACTTAAGGCACCAAGGTGCTGGACCTTAAGGTTCATGATAGCCTGTATCTTACTTAGTACATGGTAGGATAACTAATAAATGCTTCCCTAATTCGAATGCAATGTAACTTTACAAATCTTGCCCCATGCAAACTGGGTTTATTCACCAGGATGTATCTTGCTTGGTAAATTTCAGTTATACACAAGATCATGTGGGAGGAACACAGACACTGCTGTCTTTGTTTGAATTACCCTGTGAGCCAGCAAGGTGGCTTAGCGGGTTAAAGCGCTTGCTGCATAGACCTGATGTCTTGAATTCAATACCCACATCCCATAGGAGAGAAATAATTCACATGAATTACCTTCTGACAGCCACATGTGCACCAAGGCACATGCAAAATGTGGCATGCATGTTCCCACATTCATGCATGCATATCATACATACACAAACATACACACATTAACAATAAATTTTAATCTAAAAAGAAACAAAATGTAAAATACTCCACAGACCTCCCAAGGAAATGTGTTCAGATTGAGAGTCCTCATAAGACATTAATATTGGTAATATAATAATTTCTGCCAATTTTTGGTTCCCTAATGCCAAACACAATTCTAAGTAGAAGACATAACCTGCTTTGATAATAATTGAGTCCATTTATGGAGAATTTGCTGTATACTTGTAATACGCTAAATCACTACCTACACTTATGTGATCATCATAACCACTCTAATGTAAACAATTCTATTTAATATGTGAAGAAACTATATCAGTAAGCATTTTCAAAGATGCCCCAGATACCTGACAAAACCTGTACATCAAAGCACATTTTTAAGGTTTAAGTAAAACATTATTGACAAAGAGAGGATAGGCCTGGGGAGATGGTTTTGGGGGGAAAAACCACTTTGTCATGCAAAAGTAATGACCTGAGTTTAGATCCCCAGAATTCACTTAAAGCTGGACACACATGAACACACATGCACACACACACACACACACACACACACACACATTATATGCACAAAAAAATAAAGGAGGGGAGGAAAAAATGTTAGATTCAATGTTAGAGATATATAGGCAGGAAGAAGTGCTTTACAGTCACTGGAACCAAAATACAGGCCCATTCCCCATTTTCTCTCCTAGCCCACAAAACATAGAAGTAGTAATACATGGTGTTGTTGGGGTGGGGGTAGGGAGGACCTAGGCTTCACTGTTCTGCCTTTGTTACTAGCCAGTTTAACAAATTTCCCCTGTGCTGAACCCTTCACAGAACAAAGCAAACTCTCCACTTCCTACCAGGCCCATCATGAATAGGAGGAAAAATAAGACTCTTCTCACCTACAAGCAAGCAACTCACCAGGTTCCTCTTACAGTCAGAAAATATGCTGCTCAGGATAGCTGTATGCAAATTCCAAGTTCAAGATTTTTCCATTACAGTTTCTAATTATTATTTCAATTATTTTCTATGAGCTATCAACATTTTCCTTCAAGAAAAATACAGAAAATGAACCTTTTCTCCCTGCAGGTCTGTAAATGGAAGACACCAAAGCATCCTGAATGTTAGCTCCCTGCATCGTATCTCCCACCTGCCACCCGCCTTTGCTCACCAGCCTCTTTCCATAAGAGAACAGCTTTACTTTCAGCAAAGCAAGAATGGCACTCCCTGGCCTTCTAGTGGGGAACTGAGTGTTATGCCTTTGTCTTCAGTAGCAACATCCATCTGCTTGTCTCAGAGAAACTCAAAACAGTACTGTTCCAAGCCAGGAGCTGCCCAGGCTCCACTTGTTTTTATAAAAGTATAAACCAGGCCTATTTCTGAAGTGCTCCAGTCAAGACTTTTGAGCCCTGTGGAGAGGGAAAAAGCTTTCCCTGAGTGTCTATGGGAAAGTGATATTGGCACAACAGAGAGCAGTCTGTCCTTCACTCACAAAGAAAATTCAACAGGAGACAACCCTGGCATACATGACGTGCATATTTCAAGAGCTCATAGGATGACTCTGAAGAAGAAACCTTTTGTCAATAACCTGGGAACTCCAAGAGTAAGGGCACTACCCTGAGATGTACAAGCAGGCAGAAAGTGATTCTCATAGACAGAAAACTTAAGCTGCTTTGATGCTACTGTGAAAGTCTAGTCAAATTTTTTTGTTTTTAATAAGCAATAATACTGATCCATAGTCACTCCTTTAAAATGAATTGTACTAAACATACTGATAATACTACAACCCATCATTTGATTGAAATAGTTCAAATATTCATTAAATATTTGGAAAAAAACAGAAAATAGGCAGGAAGACAGACAGTCAACGTATGCAGTGAGTGCAGGATACAGAACAAATGCTTCAGAAGAAGGCTCCTGGTCTTCACATCTTTTAAAACATTTACAAAGTTTAGGCAGAGGATTTAATTTTTTTAATAAGAAAAAGGTCATCATGGCCATTATCTACCAAAGACTGAATCAGAGTTGGCTTACTTAATGGAGGGAGCATTAGGAACAGAAAGCAGGCAGGCTTGTTTCCCCACCCATTCCTACTATTATTTCCAAGGTGACCTTGGGTAAATGACTTCATCTTCTTTAGCTTCTTCTGTAAAATAATGTACTGGGTTACATGAGACTTTTGTCTAATGTTTCTTCAAGTTCTATTATTTTATATGATGCAATAATTATTTGACATCCTCTCTAGGCTTGAAATGTTTGATTTATGTGTTTATCACTACATTTCCTTTATTTGAAGAAGATAATTATGGCAAGTCATGGTGTTGAAGGTCTGAGATCCCAGTACTTGGGAGGCTAAAGCAGGAAGGTTGCAAGTTCAAGACTAGCCTGAGCTACATAGCAAGACACTGTCTTAAAAATGGATAAAATAGCTATCCTCAGGCCTCTTGGGGTAAGTCTATAGCGCAGCCCTCCGCGCCTTGACTCCCCAAGCCACATTCACCCTTCCATCTTCCCCGCTGTTCGCTATTCCCAGTTTGGGACCTGCGCCATTCCTAGCCTTGGGCCCCAGACACCTGGGGAACCAATACTGCTTCCTGATCCTTCTCACCCAACCAACTGAGTGCCTTTCTTGGGCCCCAGGAGCACCGCTTCTGGTCCTCGCCCCGCCCTCACTTCTCTCTGCGACCCTGAACCTGCACCACCGCTTAACTCTCCTACCCTGCACTCCTATCCTCAGGCCTCTTGGGGTAAGTCTATAGCGCAGCCCTCCGTGCATTGACTCCCCAAGCCACATTCATCCTTCCATCTCTCCTGCTGTTCGCTACTCCTAGTTTGGGACTTGCCATCCCTACACTTGGGGCCCCAGACACCGGGGCAACCAATACTGCTTCCTGACCCTTCTCACCCAGACCAACTTAGTGCCTTTCTTGGGCCCCAGGGGCACTGCTTCTGGACCTGGCCCCGCCCTCACCTCCCTCTACTTCCCTGGTCCTGCAACACCCGCCAGCCTCTTTCTGGGGCTGACAGCCTCTT